ATAGGTAATTTGACTAATTACACGATTAAAATTGATGAAACCATTAACATGTAATTAATTTAAATAAATATATGACTGTAACTATTTCAACAGATTTAATATTTAGATGAATTAAATAATTAAATGCAAATGTAAATTGCTACTAATTTGGAAACAAAATTACAATATACAAAACTGAGCAAAATTTATTATTCTCTTAATGGAACAATTATGTGTTTTATACAAAACTTCTGATAATATAATAAATATGTATGAGACAATATTCCACTTTTATTAGTGCTGAATATTTATGGAATAAAATAAAGGATTCATGGTTTCAAATTCAGTTTCACTACTTCTTGGCGTATAACAGAAATAAGTTCTTGATTTATTAAGAATATAAATCTTAGACCTGCAATCTAAAAAAAATATTAAGAATGTTATATATGCCTCATTGAAGAAATATTACTAATACTTTTTTAAATTTGTTATTTCGTGTTTTATATGAAATTAAAAATAAAATTCAATACCTCAATTACGCTATTATTATTAAGTTTCATTTTATTTCCTGCAAGAATAGGCCTACTATCTACAAAAATAGGTCGCTTTCCCTCTGAAGAAAGGAAAAAGTCTCCATTGTTCCTTAACCGAATAGTTCCTTGCCTTCGTGAAACTTTCCAAGCTGGTCCTTCCAACGTTAAATCTACATCCACGTTGTGATCTTTTGTTGAACGACCTACAGTAATCTAAGCAAAGAATTAATTTTTTAAGTACAAAATAATTCGTATTTAATTAACGTATTACTAATGTTCAAGTAGAAATTTTATTCCATTTAATATGATTTAAACAATGTTTTAAAATTACCTCTCGTGATCTCATTAAATACCTAACAAGTCTTCCTCTAAGTATTGCTAAAGTTTGATTATCAAAGTCTGGTGGATTCACCCCAGTTACACTGTCGACTAGAACTTGCCATCTATTCAGTTCATTTTCTAATACTTTTATCTCCCTCTTATTCCTCCTATCTGCTGCAATAAGTTCTGCATCTACTAACTCATCTTTCTGTTCAATTAACTCCGTATCGTTAATCATCTCTTCAGCATCAGAAAAATTAAGAACATGTTCACCTCGTGGTAAACTTTGTACAGTCTGATCAGGAAGGAGGTGATACTGTTTCATTAATTGCCAATGAGCTAATAAAGCTTTTGCAGTTCGAGCAGAGTAAAATGTATGGGCATTTGCTTCAAGAAGTTCTTGAAATACTTCCAATGTTGGTTGAGAAGTCTAAAAAACCATGTTTAGTAATTAATAATTGAATGTAATAATTAAAAGTTTATTACAATTTAAGGACATAAAAAGTTAAAAAAAAATTGAAACTTGTGAAAGTAATAATAGCTATTGAATATAATATTAAACACAATTAAAATAAAATATTTACTTACAGATTTTATTGTACCCAAAAGATCTTCCTCTGCTTTACTATATAAAGTCCTAGCTTGTACACTAGCAATTAATTCTGGATGTAAATTACGCATAGCCTGAACTGCTACTCTTGAAACTGCACTATCATAAAGCAAAGCATACCATCTTTGTTGTATTTCTTGTAATGTAAAGCGGCAAGAAAATTTTGTACCTCTGTGAACCTAATTTACACCAATGTATTTTATATATTATTATATCATTATTTTCAGAACATA